TTATTATTATTATTATTATTATTATTATTATTATTATTATTATTATTATTTCTGTTGTCGTTGAAGTCCAGCTTTAGACCATGATGGTCTAATAGGATATGAGGGATTATTTCAGTCTTCTTGTCTCTGTTGAGGCTTGCTTTATGATCAACTATATGGTCTGTTTCGGAGAAGGTTCCATGAAATGCTGAGAAAAAGGTAAATTCTTTTGTGTTTGGGTAAAAAGTTCTGTAGATGTCTGTTAGGTCCATTTGATTCACAATAGCTGTCAGTGTCATTGTTTCTCTGTTTAGTTTCTGTTTTGTTGACTTGTCCTTTGTTGAGAGTGGGGTGTTGAAGTCTCCGCTATTAATATGTGGGGATCTATCCATGGTTTAAGCTTTATTAATGTTTCTTTTACAAATATGGATGCCCTTGTATTTGGGGCATAGATGTTCAGAATTGTGATGTCTTCTTGGTGGAATTTTCCTTTGATGAGTATAATGTCCTACCTCATCTTTTTTGATTAATTTTGGCTGAAAGTCTATTTTATTAGATATTATAATGGCTACTCTTGTTTGATTCTTGTGTCTGTATGCTTGGAAAACCATCTTCCATCCCTTTACTCTCAGGTAATGTCTATCTTTGTGGCTGAGGTGTGTTTCTTGTATGCAGTGTCCTGTTTACACATCTGTTCTGTTAGTATGTGTCTTTTTAAGGAGAGTTGAGACCAATAATGTTAAGAGAGATTAATGACCAGTGGCTGTTAGATCCTTTTATTTTTATGTTGGTTGTGGGTAGTGTGTATGATTTTCTGCTTTTCATTTGGCTGTAGTGATATTATTTATTTCCTGTGTTTTTGGGGGTGTAGATAGCCTTCTTGGGTTGTATTTTTCCTTCTAGTATCTTCTGTAGGGCTGGGTTTGTGGGTGGATACTGTATAAATTTGTTTCTGTGGTGGAATAACTTGTTTTCTCCTATGATGATTGAGAGTTTTGCTGGGTATACTAGTCTGGGCTGACATCTGTATTCTTTTAGGGTTTGCGTGACATCTATCCAGGCCCTTCTAGTTTTCATAGTCTCTGTTGAAAAGTCAGGTATGATTCTGATGGGCTTGCCATTATATGTTACTTGGCCTTTTCCCTTGCAGTTTTTAGTATCTTCTTCTTCTTGTTGTTTTTCTTCCTTTTTTTGTATGTTTAGTGTTTTGACTATTATGTCACAGGAGGATTTTCTTTTCTGATTTAATCTATTAGGTGTTCTGTAGGCCTCTTCTATGCTTGTAGACATCTCTTTCTTTTAATTGGCAAAATTTTCTTGTATGATTTTATTAAAAATATTTTCTTGGCCTTGGAGACGGAACTCTTCTCTTTCCTCTATTTCTGTTATTCTTAGATTTCATCTTATCATGGTGTCCTTGATTTCTTAGATGGTTTGTGTCAGGAATTTTTTAGAATTAACATTTTCTTTGATGGATGTATCATCTTCTTCCACTGTACC